ATATAAACTTCCAGCAAATGACTTCTTAATGAGGTCTGGAAACAGGCTTTAGGGCCCTGAGTGTCATCACATAATTAAGCAGTTAATTTCTTTTATTATAAGGCTGAAAGTCACAAACAATGAACTCTGAAACAAACTGCACTATACTCAAATATGTGAGAATATCTCTAATTTTCTAAATAAATAAGGATAGTTCTCAATAACACCACATATTCTAGCTCCTAAAACATTTAAGACAGGCATCTGAAACAGCAATTTTGAATAATGATTCTAACCCTGGAATGACAGTAGTGACAAGGTAAAATGTGAGAATATCTCTAATTTTCTAAATAAATAATGATAGTTCTCAATAACAACATCACATAATCTAGCTCCTAAAACATTTAAGATATGCATCTGAAACAGCAATTTTTAATAATGATTCTAACCCTGGAATGACAGTAGTGACAAGGTAAATGCATAACTTGAATTTATCTAAGTGTATCCCCTTCCTTTCACTATTGTACCTTAAATTTACGTAAACCAACTTGAAAGGTAAACAAACACCACATCTTAAAACTAGTCAACTTCTCAAAATTGTAACTGCTTTAGCTTTTTTCTGGATGGAATGCATATTGTAACTTTGAATCTAATTAAAATTCACAATCAGATAAAACATCCTAGATCCCAATCAATAAGCCTGAAAATAAACTTTTATTCCAAGAAAATGCATTGTTTTATTGAAAACATATATAGCATGAAGTTTCTGAAAGGTCAAATGTAACCAAAGAAACAAAACAACATAGTGCCTTCCCATACAAAGGAAAAGTTAGCAGACAACATATCCAAAGGAAAATAGTTTAATTTTAAACAGCTCTGAGAACTGTGCTTAGAATCAAGGAGTTTGCAGTTGGGGGTTTTAACTTGTAGATTGGCTTCCACAGACACTAAAAGTACTTTCCATAGATTCCCAAGAAAGAATACTATTCATTTTACCAAGCATAGCTTCTTTAAAAAAGAGTAAATAACTTCCAGATGAAAATATCTCATGCCTTTTTCATCTTAAATGCATTTTATGCTCTTCAAACTGTCCTAGAAAACAATATCTAATCATTTCGGAAATACATACAAATGTGAAGAGTGATTCTAGATTGACAATATCTGATTCAGTGTTAAGGAGTTCAAAAATCTCCATTCACATGTTTTTAGAAAACACTGTTAAGTCGGGAAATAATAAAAGTAGCATACAAAAAACAAAGAACCAGAAAGCACACATACTTGATGTCCAATAGCAAACTGCATGCTGTAAAAATTATAGTGGCATATTATTTTATTTGTTCTTTCTCTACAGCCAGCTGTTGGACTAAATGTCTGCTGCTCAGAGAAAACAGGCATCTGCTACAGCATTAGTTGTGCCAATGAGCCAGAATGAAACTGGATAGCCTTTCATGCAAAGTTATATATTTCAAAAGGGCAAACATATACATTTCAATCACGTTAGGATAATGAAAAACTAGGTATCGCAAAAGCCTGGAAACATTCATCTTACCTGTAAAGCAGAGACTCTTCCTGACGTTATCTGTAATGCACAGCTGGAAGAGATGTTCAAAGTCAATTCAGTTTCTTTATTAAAAAGAAAACACTAACCACCGTGTACTTTCTTCTCAAATATCACTTTTTGGCAAGTCCCGCACTTTATCAAGTGAAAGCCTCTGGTCAGAGACAAAGTGCTGAGCATCTCATTGAAAATATTTCTAGCAGAGTGCCTGCTAGATCATCCCGAAGCAGTTGTCCTTTTCTTCCCCAATTAAAATTCAGGGCATACTTCACAGCTATGCTGACTTTTTTTGCATATAGTTAACCATTTGCGAGCTGCCGAACGCAGTCCATAAACAAGATGTTTGGCAGAGCTGGGACTGATCACTCTCGCTTTCTGAGGTTGTGGATCCAGGCTGCAGCAATGTTCTCTGTCCTCCCTTTCTAGTCTTTCTTGTTAGCTCAGTGTGTTATTAGTCAGATTGCCAAGGGCTGGGAGGTAGGCGTAAATAAAGAGACTTCTTGGCTTTTGACTCAGCCTTTAAGCCCTTCCCCACCAGAGCGCTTTAATCTGCCAGTGTCATTTGACACAGGAGGCAGCTCCACCTTGGGACTGCTCAACTCCTCCTCTTTCTGCAAATGGTCTTTCCACTCCCTTTTCATACCAAATATAGTGCAAGGGAATGTTGATGCAAAATAATGACATGTCATTTTGAATGTCTCAGATTGTTTTGTGTTATGTAGGAAGTTAAGTAATACATTAGGTTGCATTTTCAGCTGGCACACTACTGTGCTGTTTGCACACATGTGTGCAGAAAAACAGCACACATGCTGCCTGGGGAATAGTGGCTTCAGTTTTATTTTGAAACTGGGCATGAAATAAATTCTAAAAGATTCCCATGAACTGCTTTCTTGCAATATTTGCATTTTCATCGTCACCCTTTTAACATTTTTTAAAAGCCTCATGCCAGTGACTATAAGTTTTATACTTCATTATTTCTTCCCCTACAGCTAAGATTCAATGATGAGACTAGAAATAGGTTCTTTTTCAGTTAAGATAATATTTATTTGGAATGGAAATATGATTATTGTAAATTACACTCAAGAATCTTTATTGCAAATGGTTGACATTCATCAAAACACAGCTTACCACTCTCAAAAATATAAAATTACACCTTTTCAGATATAGTAAAACAAGTTAAATGAATACATAGAAATGAAAATACCCTGATTTTTTATGGTACTAGGTCAGAAAGCATATTTTCCCTAAAATGGTTCTATTTAAAAGTTACTCATTTCCTCAACTCTTAAAAGTTTCTGAATCATCACTAATAAAACTCTCAACTGTCAGAGTCCTTATCTCCCCAAATGCCTATGTTTTAAAAAGCATTCCTCTTTACCTGCATTCCAAGTACCTGCACTTTTTCATATCCAAAATGAATATACTAGATGTCATCATTTATTTTAAAACAATCTGTGTTTAGATACATCCTTGTCTATAATTAGAGTCTACCTATACAATATTAGGTCTCATTTCAGAAAAAGCTACTTTTAAGAAAGAGGTTTTATGCAGGTTAAATCATCAAAATGGAAGAAAATTAGATTGGATCATTACCTAATCACAGCTATATGTAGGAACTCTAATCCCTAAAGTTTTCATATCCTTAGTGTGGAATAGTTGTTTTAAAATTAAGGATTTTGATGTAATTATTAACATTCCATCTTTCCTTTTTATATTATATTCTCTCAGTCATAAGATCCTCATTTATTTTAAAAACATTGTGTGCTCTAAGATGAAATAGAGATTATAACACAGATGAAGAAGTGGAGAAAGAGAAGAAAAATGAGGAATAAGAAAATAAAGGGAATAAGAAATAATAGAGGCAAGGAATCAACCTCAGGCACAATTTGCTGCCAGCTGATGACCATGTCAACTAAAATCAACCTATTGATGTAGGTAAATAGTGACAAAACAGAATCAATGGGGAGAAAAAGGAACTAGAATAATCCCTTCCAACACAATAGATATAATTCTTTAAAGGTATTTCTTTTGGTTTAGGAGGCAAAATCACAGGAGACATATTTTTGAAGTATAGTTTGTGGAGGAATGTTGTTCAAAGAAACATGTGGGACAAAAGGAACTACACTCCTTTCAGATTTATGCAAGTTTATCTCATTTTTTTCCAATTGGAACATGTGTCTATATTATCCATAATTTACACCTAGCAGATATTTGAAGTTATTTATCTTGAGTCCCTTGCTTACATATTGCATATTATCTCTTTTGTGCATAATTACTAATTAATTACTCAATAGTAAGAAAAGAAGTGACAAGCCATTTATTTTTATTTTTTAAATATATTTTATTGGTTTTTTACAGAGAGGAAGGGAGAGAGATAGAGAGTTAGAAACATCCATGAGAGAGAAACATCGATTAGCTGCCTCCTGCACACCTCCTACTGGGGATGTGCCCACAACCAAGGTACGTGCCCTTGATCAGAATCGAACCTGGGACCTTTCAGTCCGCAGGCCACTGAGCCAAACAAGCTAGGGCAAGCCATTTCTTTTTATTGTTTACCTTTTCTGAAAGTTCTGGGTAGGAACATAAAAAATGGATATGTGCAGAATTGTTATTTGAGGAGCCTTGTTTAACTTAACTCGAAGGAGTAATGTTGATAATGAATTACTCGGCATTATCTCAAACTTAGTAAAATATATAATTTAGCACATTGAAAATAATTATGACTACAGAACTGTTCTCTATGTTTGGTTAGGTGCAATTCCTCGTTGTTTCACTAAATCATCACGCCACTATTCTTTCAAAACGCTTATGGCAGAATGTTAATGGTGGTTGGATAACGTTTATTTTAACATTGTTTTTCATTTCCAATTATTACATTAAAAAGCACCTTCCCTTTGTAGCTTCCTCAAAGTTTTAATAATAAATTTATCAAGTAATCATAACAAAATACTACTTTCCACATAATTTACCCCCAGCGACTCCATCTTTTAAGGTGTTAAAAAGTAATCAATTATTTTTAACCACATCCTCTAAACTATGTGTTATTGTGACTTTTAACTGCTTTTTAGAATGTGCACCTTAAAGGGGAAACATAATAGTATCTGATTACATTGAAGAACACCAAGTGGTCAGGAGAAATAAACCCATCTCTGTTAGTCATGTCAGAGCAGCAGCATATGTAGGGCAGCACAGAGCATTCTGCATGGGGGCTAGGAGACTGTCTTCCCTTCCCTGCTTACATAGATGGGGGAGGCAGTCATTTTACACATCCAATGGCATTTGTTGGACAAAGCCTATGGGACAAATAGTACAAAAAGACCAAGACTAAGCACTGGACAGAGGAAAGAAAAAAAATTAAACAACGAAAAAAGATTTATTCATTCCGTATAGAGCTAGTTCTACCTCAGAGCATCTGCCCACATTTAAGAGGTAAAGTGAAGACATATGTCAGATTGGTTTTGACTTAAGAATCTGGAAGGCTTGAAGAGAGAAGCCTTTGCACGTCTGTGGTGTAGACTGAGGGATATTTAAATACTCTGAAGGTGGAAAGTATAACAGGATGACCTTTTGGTGGATAATAATCCTATAGGTGGATTTTAAATATTCACCAGTGATTTTATTCTTTGAAAAAGGTCATTGAAACACAGAAATAATCCTAAATCAATGTCACTTTTTAAGTATTTATATAATCATTTAAAAGAAATACTCAACACATATCACTGGGAAATAACTATTACTGTGGGCTCTGTCTGCTCCATATTATTAGGGAATTAGCTGAAACTCATGATAATGCTATTAAATTGAATATAACAGATATCTGAAAATCATGTCTAAATTTACAGTTATAGAGGAATCTTGTGTACTAATTTTTTAAACATTACTATAGGAATTTTTCCTTTTCTAATTTCAAACTAAAAGTTTTCTTTAAAATTGTATATACTTTTAAATAAGTATACCTGTTTCATTATAAAACTCTAAAAGCAGTTCAAAAGACACCTGAAAAGTAAAATTCACTCACAATTCCCTAGCTTAAATTCAACTCCAGTATTTATTTTCTATTCCAATGCTGCCTATTGTATACAAAAATAATAGATCTTATAAAATAATTGTTAATCTTTGAAAACTAATGGGGTAAAATCTGATTGAAATACGTCATTTGATTTCTATAAATCACATTCATAGGAAATGGTAGCAAAACAATGTTACCTTTTATCTATCACAATGCCATTCTCTACAGTAAACTTTAATTTTATCCTTAAATCTGGAATGTAGGGTTCTCATTCACTGGGAAAGAAGCCTAAAACCCTATGTTGGCATTTCTTTCTTTCTTTCTTTTTTTTTTTTGGAGGGGGCAGGGTGTGTTCTGTTAGAGTAAGATCACAATCATTATGAATAACTTGACTTCTGACAATAACATGCAATTTACTAAAGGACAATTACCTGTGTATGTGGAAGAACAGAAGATATTCCAATGGTTTAGCAATAACATCTCTGTATCTGAGAACATTTGCACATGTTCATCATGAATAATGACTTTCAGTGAAAAGTTTATGCATTTTAAAAAGACTTTATTGGCAGATATAGTATTTTATATAGTCACACGTGAATAGGTGTTTAGGAAACTTGCCTTTCACATTAAACTTCAATAAAAAGGTTAATGCATTATTTGAATCTTATGGCCTCCTTCATACTCAATTTGATCTCAGATCAAAGGTATAAAACTAATAATGGAATTGCCTTATTCTGAAAGAGGTCTTACAATAAAACTTCCTCTTTTAATTTGAAATCTGTTGACACAAAAAAACTCTCTAATACCATTGTTTAACCTGGCAAAACCTAAAACAAAACAAAAACTCTCTCCTTGAAGCTTGGATTATTAGCTGTCTGTCTTCATATAAAGTATATTTGAGATTTCATAGAATCCCCTACTTCAAATGGATGCCTAAGAAAACTATTTTTTTTAAAAACCCTACAAAATGTTGATGAATATTTTCATAGTGAATAATGAACAGTGTGCAAGAAAACAAAGCCCAGTGGAATAATGTCAGACCGTGAGTTATTTTGATTGTAAAGACTCCTTGAGGGAAGGCTAGTATTTATTTTTGTATTTTTTCCCCATAGTACTACAGAATGAGTTGCACATAGAAAACAGTCAAGATAAATTGTTTCTTTGTGTGTCCTCACTATGGTATAACCTCAGGACATTTTCTTACTAGTTCTTAGGAATGTATAGAGATGAACACTTTTTTAAAAAATTGTATCCATATAACAAAAAAACATAATGTTAAAGACCAATATTGAAAACTGAAAATTAATTATTAACCCCCTGGATCTTTCCAAATCCTATATAATAAAAGGGTATTATGCAAATTGACCCTAACAGCAGAATGACTGGGATTGACTGGCCACTATGACACACACTGACCACCAAGGGCCAGACACTCAATGCAGGAGCTGCCCCCTGGCGGTCAGTGCGCTCCCACAGGGGGAGCTCTGCTCAGCCACAAGCCAGGCTGCCAGCTGCCAGCACAGTGGTG